AGTTCCACTGGATTAGGGTCCACCCTACTCCATTATAAGCTCATCTTAACTAATTTTGTGGGCAACAACCATATTTCCAAATAAGGTCATATCTTAAGTACTGGAAGTCAGGACTTCAACTCTCCCCCCCCCCTTCTCTCTCTCTTTCTTGGGGGATGGGGGAGCACAATTCAACCCCTAACAGGAGCTCTTTGTATATTAGTAACATCAGCCCTTGAATTGGATGATTCTCTCTGCTGTGGTGGAGACTGAGCTGCAAAGTGCTAGAAGCAGGGAAACTGTTCTTCTTTGCACAAACTCTGCAAAATTTTTCTGCCCTGGATCCCTTCGTCTCCCCAAGTCACCTTAACCCCATGAAGCCAGAGAGAGGCGTGGCAAAGCAGACTGCTGGAGGAGGGATGGAAAGCGGCTGGGGCTTCTAGCTCCTGGCACTTGTCACCTCAGGAACAGCACCCCTCAGCCTGGTAGTTACGAGCATGGGGGGCAGCGCCAGGCTGCTTAGGGCCAAATCGTCCTGACTTTATACTTCCAAGTCATCCTGGGCAAGTGGCTTAATCACTTGTATTAGTTTCTTACTGCTGTTGCCATAAATTACCACAAACTTAGTGGCTTTAAAGCAATAGAAATGTCTTCTCTTACAGCACTGGAGGTCAGAAATCTCAAATGAGACTTCAGGGGCCAAAATCTAGGTATCAGCAGGCAGAGCTCTCTCTGGAGAGTCTAGAGGGGGCAGGGGTCGCCCTCCTTCTCTAGACCACAGAGCTGCTCCCCTTGTATTCCTCTGTTCTTTGTTGTTGTTGCTACTCCTCACTTGAGGATATTTTTCCATTGCTTTTCAGAGTGGAAGGGAGGAAGAGAGGGGGAAAGAGAAAGGGGGAGTAACATCGATGGGAGAGGGACACAGCTGCACAAGCAAACCCCCAACCAAGGTACGTGCCCTTGACCGGGAATCGAACCCAAAACCCGATGCTCTAACCCCTGAGCAACACCAGCCAGGGCTATTCCTGACCACTTTCTCCACCTTCCAAGCCAGCAGCAGAGCCCCTCCTCTCTCTCACCCTGTGTTCCTCTGCTTCTGTCTACTTGTGATTACATTTAGGGCCCACCCGGATCATCGGGGTAATGTCCCCATCTTTAAATCCTTAACTTAACCACATGCACAAAAGGCCCTTTTTTCACATCAGGAAACATTCGCAGGTTCCAGCACTTAGGACCTGGATATCTTCTGGGGCCACCATTCAGCTGACCACCCTCTCTAACCCTCCGTGTCCACTGTGAAGGAGGGCCCTGTGAGGATTCCCCGAGTTCTTTAGGGACAGCCCTGAGAACCATGTGCAGCCTAGCACAGGCACTCGATAAAAAGGACGGGGAGAGCCTCAGTTTCTCTATCTGAAAAATGGGGGCAGAGGTGTGTGGACTCCAGGGATTTCCCAGCTCTTTCACTCCCTAGGGTGATTCCCCTTCTGTCACCCCGGTTTTTGCAGAAGTAAAGCGAGGCCCTGAGAGGAGTCATCAGTGTTGCCAGTTAGGCCTGGAGTTGGGGAGGAAAGGCCACAGCATGCCCCCAGCGTCAGCCCAGGCCAGAGGCGGTCACTTCCTCCGGTCGGTGGCACGTCCCAGATGTGCACTCACACATGCACGGTGTCTGTCTCTCTGTGTCTCCACTCTTCTCTCTTTGAAGGCAATTCATGCCATTCTCTCTGTCTCCCTCTGCCAGTCTCTGTCTCTGTCCCTCTGTTTCTCACTGTCTGTCCTTGTCTCTCATTTGCTGTTTTGTTGGCTCTTTTCCTCTCTGATTTCCCCTGAATTAGTCTGTCTGTGGCCTCTCCTCACTCACCGTTCCTCCCCCCATCTCTAGCCCCATCTCTCTCGCTGTCTCTCCTTCCTTGTCTGTCTCTCCCTCTCTGTGTCTCTGTCTCTCTCCCTCTCTGTCTCTGCAGGGGACTCACCTCTTCTCAGCCCGGGAAGTCCCTGAAACCTGCGGGCCTCACCCAGGACCCAGCAGGCAGGCAGGATGGGGAGAGGCCCAGGTGAGTCACCAGCAGTAAGGACATTCCTGCCGATTTTCTGGGATTATGCACGGCCAGGCCACCTGCCTGCCCCCTCCCCTAACTCGTCACTGGACCTCTAGGGTGTGTGTCACTCAAGGGAGAGACTGAGGGAACGAGTAAGAGAGAGAGAAAAACAGAAAGAGGCATAGAGAGAGGCTAAAAACAGACAGAGAGACAGAAAGAGAGAAAACAGATGCAGACACACAGAGGGGTACAGAGAGAGAGTGACAGAGTCAGAGAGGGACAGATATGGAGAGAAACAGACAGACAAAGAATGAAACAGAATCCTGTCCAGTTTGGCTCAGTGGTTAGAGCATCAGCCCTTGAACCGAAGGGTCTTGGGTTCGATTCCCGGCCAAGAGCATGTACCCAGGTTGCAGGTTCTATACCCAGCCCTGGTGGGGGCAACCGATCCATGTGTCTCTCTCACATCAATGTCTCTTTCTCTCTTTTTCTTAAAATTGATTGAAAAATTGGAGAGAAAAAAAGAATGAAACAGAGGTAGCAAGAGAGAGACAGAGAGACACAGAAGAAGAGAAACAGATAGAGAGTGGGGGAGACCAGGGTAGTCTGAGGAAGGGATGGGTGGGGTCCAAGATAATTCCTCTGTTCTTCAAATAAAAGAGGAAATTGCGTCAGAGTGCTGATGTCATCCACCCAGGAAGTGGTAGTTCCAGATCACACAGCTTCGTGTGACACCCAAACCTAAGCTTTCCTTTCACTGAGAGATGCCTTCGCCTCCCCAGACCCATGTCTCAGCTGGGAAAAGCAAGGATCAGTGTAGTGAAGCCATCTGCCCATGGTCACGCAGGAGCAAATGGCTGAGCTGGATCTTAAGCCCTCCTGGACCAACACCCCAACTTTCTATTTCCCCATCTCATGCACAGCACTATCTCATTCAGTTTTCAGGCAAACCCCAAGAGGGGCCCCATATTCCTACATGAGGAAACTGAGGCTCAGAAAGGAGGCTGTCCGTTGGCTCACGGTGTCTCAGCTAGGGAGTGGCCAGCATGACAACCGCTGACCTCAGACTCATGACGCGTTTCCCCCTCCTTTCCACCCCACAGACCAGAAACTAGGGCCAGAGACTGGAGTTAGGTGCAACGATACTAATGACAGTTAGTTTCTTACTGAGCACCTACTATGTACCAGGTACTGTGGCAAGCCCCTTGGGTGCATTCTTTTATGTCTTTAGCACACCAGCCCCGAGAGGGAGGTGCTTGTTATCTCTCCTTTCCAGATAAGGAGCTTGAGGCACAGGGAGGTTAAGTAACCCGCCCAAGGCCACACAGCTAGTGAGAATGTAGCTGGAATTTGAACCCTCACAGTCTGGTGCCAGCCCCCACACTCTTAGTCATTAGGACATACTAATGACTGCCTCTTAAGAGAGGTTTCTTTGGGAGTTTTCTACCTCATCTTTAAATCACTAGCTTAAGTCTTCAATAAATAAGAATAACAATAGTTTCATCATTAATATAGTGGTGGAGGTAGCTACTACTTACTCGTAGCCTGTTACTCTCTCCCTTCCCAGTTCCGTTCCAGCCACACTGGCCTCTCTGCTGCTCCTAGATCATCAGACAGGCTCCCACCTCAGGGCCTTTACACTGGCTATTTCCTCTCCCTGGAACTCTTCTCAAACCAATTGCCTGACTTCTTCCCTCACACAGTCAGTCTCTGCTCAAATGCTGGGTGCTCAGGGAGGCCCTCCTGGATCATCCCACTTAAACTGACCACGCCTCACTCGTGCACTTTCTTCAACCTGGTTTCTTTTTCTCCTTTTTGTTTATTACCGCCAGGCAGCCATAGATTAGATAACAGGTATCTACTCCCTGAGGTCACAAGGGCAGGGACTTTGCTTTCTGCTGTGACTCAGTCCTAGACCAGTGCCTGGCATTTAGTAAACATTGAAAGAACTTGTAGAGCCCTCCATACGGGCCAGCAACTGTTCAAAGATCTTACCTGAATTAAATTGCTCTGATTGGTCAGAAGCAGCCTAAAATGGAGAGACTATTTTATGTTTTGCATTTTATTTTACTTAAAAAAAAAAAAAGTATTGCCCTGGCCAGGTAGCTCATTTGGTTAGATCCTCATCCTGATATGCCAAGGTTGTGGGTTCAATCCCCGGTCAGGGCACATACACGAATCAATCGATGCATCAATAAGTGGAACAACAAATCGATGTTTCTCTCTCCCTTCCTCTCTCTCTAAAAATCAATAAATTAAAAAAATTATTATGAATCTTTACAAACACACAGAAAAGGAGACAGAATGACATATAAGTTACCTTAATCTAATTGATACAAATATTTTCTTTTTTCCTAAGTTAAAGTAGATGACGACATCAATGACATTAACCTCTAAATATTTCAGTGAGCTGTAAAAATGAACAACAATCTTCCCACATAACCACAAAACCATTGTCATAACAGCACTATGTACTTTTGGACTGAAGGGTTTTAAATTAGAGACATATTATTTCAAGCCCAAATATTTCAACATCCATCTCTAAATGATAAAGACATTCTCCCATGAAAAGACCCACAATACCATCGTCCCTCCTAACGAAACTAACAAAACCCCAATATTATCTATTAATCAGCCACGGATTTCCCACCAGGACAAGTTTTAATCTGAGGGGTGAGGTCCCTTGCCCAAGATCCCAGAGCAGGGAGAGGGGGATGGAACGTGCGCGCCGGCGGCCGCGGACCCAGCTGTGGCCTTGGCCGCTGGAGTCCGAGCAGAGCCAGCCCCCTGCGCCGCCGGCCACGCCCTGGCAAGAGGGCTTGGCAGGGGGTGACCCGGGGGAGGTGGCGGAGCGCCCACGCATCTCTAGCTGACTCGCGCTTTTGCAAAACGTCTGGGAGGAGCCCCCGGGACCACAAAACTGTCTCCCTCCCGGGGCCAGGCTCAGAGGTGCAGGGAAGCCGCGCACAGGAGCCGCTGCCTGCCATGGGCACCCCGGGGCTGCTGCCGCTGCTGCTGCTGGTTCAAGCCTGCGTTCCAGGTAGTGGCTGCGTCCCCGCACCTGCTCGGGGGA